TTTTCATTATGTTGAGTTAATTCTAACACACCTTTGTGAGGAGATAGCAAAGACAGATTCCTGCAAGTTTATCAGCCTCATTTTTTAAACTACCAAGTCTTCACACTTCAAAGCATTCTATTCAGCTTGGAAATGATCCTTTTTTTTCAGTTGAGAACTTCCTATAAAACCTTATACTGGGGACTAAAAGTGACTTTTGGGACCCCAATCCTCTTCTGTCGCAGGTATCCAAGTACAATAATTTTGTTCACAGATTTATCAGACTCCTATTTAGAAGTAATTTGGTGAGCCTTTTTAACCCACTTTGGTTCTTAGAGATGAGGGCTGCTCTAGAGGACGGCTGCACTAATGCTACAGAATCCTTATGGAATTTCTAGCCTTATTTGTCTAAAACCTGGTTCATGTATAGCTGTTCCTATGCCAACACTATCATTTAGTATCAATAGCTCTAAAATACCTCCTTTAATAGTTCTAAAACAGCTCTTCTCCATTTCCTTGTTTACTTCCCTCCAGTTTGTTTTCCTAGGCTAAACAATATAGCTACTTTTCAGTTTTACTTGGTAGAAAATCTCTTCTTTGGATTGCCCAAAGATTCCCCCCTTGAAACTCTTGCAGTTTGTCAGGAGGACAGAAAAGTCTCTTGACCATGTTCACCTAATTTCCAAGGCTTTGATAGTTCCCATGCTGTTTTTCATTTGCTGATTTTCATTATCGCTTCTCTGAGGCAATAGATGAAACTAGTTGCATCATGTGAGGTGGAATCCAGGCTAGTGTGAAAAATTAAGTGCGAGTTATCTAAAAAAAAAATTATTAGGCTGCTAGTATTTCAGAATTGAGATTTTGGCCTTGTTTATGTTTTGGAGCTGTGTTTTTTGCAACATAATTTAACTCTTCTCAAATTTTGTGCAAGCAGTGCTGACCAGATAATGATTTTCATATTACACTGGGACAAAAACAAGCCTTTTTAAGTTTAAACAAATTGTGAGAAATACATTACAAAATAGCAAGCACCCAGGGAAGGGAGATCTCTGGTTCAAACAGCTGCTTTGTTCACTTTCCTTACACACTGCTGTGTTCTTCTGTCTCCTGTTGCAGCTGCTCTACTTTGCTAAAAACCTATAAATTTCAATATTAAATGTTTTCAGGACTTATGGATAATCAATCCTTCCCTTTTCTTCTTATTTTTGTTTAGAGACTTCTCATCATAGCTTCCTTCCTCTCTTCTCCTCTTCTTCATCATCCTTTGTTATAATAGGCACAACAAGGCTCTCCTTTTTCTTCTGCAGTAGAGGCAGAGCCTCCATTTCAGAGTCCCTTCTGGACACACAGTCCAAGTTCTAATTCCTCCTCCTCACACATTTGGTTTAAGAACTGATCCTTATTATTCCTGATGGGGTCACACAAGCATCTTATATAAAGATATTAAGGCTTGCTTTCTCCAGCAAAATCTTCCCCATACATCTTAGGATCTCATTTGCTTTTCATTGCATTTGCTTTTCATTACATCAGTGAGTCAGAATGGCTGGTCTTCTCTCTTTCTGACGAATGAATCCTGAATTTAGCAACACTATAAGAGGAACTATGTGACATATGTGGAAGACACTGCAGAGACAAGAATGTGCCACCATGGAGCAGGCCGTAGGCTCCTCACGTAAAGCAGAAGGCAGCGTACCTGCCTTGTGCATGTTCTCCTTTGACTTTCTCTCTAACCATGGCCCTGTTCATCCTGCAGTGGTAGTGGTCAGTATTTCTTGAGCAGACCTTGTGGATCTTAATGGATCTTATCCTCCCATGAATACACTGAAAAGTCTTTGCTTTCTATTTCCTACCATTTCGTATACATAATTTTTGTATTTTCCATATTTCTCTTGCCTTTGATGTTCTTGCCTTCTGAGAAGACTGTAGTCATTCACAAGGTCTTAACTACTCAAGGCCATAAATGCTGCATTTTAAACTGTTACCCTTGAAGTCTTTGAGCCACTTCCAACTCAACATTAATTTTCCTGGGTTACTCGCCTTGAGTTAATTAGTTCTCTGTACTGTCTGCCCACATCTTTGATTTGTTTTATAGCTTTCCTTACTTGCACAGAAAAAGATTTCTTCTTTTTGCATGTGAGTGAAGTGAAATAATGGTCTTCATTATTTTGCGAGGTTATTAATTCAGGAAGTTGAAAATCATATTGTCATTCTCTATAGAGAAACCTATTATTATATCACCATTTAGTACTGATTAAATATACATTGTCCTTGTATAAATATATTATGCTAATTGTGCTTCCATGATCTTATAATACTTCAGGATCATTCCAAAACTAATACATATAGAAGATGCCATTTTTTAAAAATTTGAAAATGTACTAATTTTCTTTCATGTAGACCATCAGGTATAGGAGTGGAGCACAGGCCAGACTTTGGATTCCAGCTATAAGCATCATATAATTTTTATAGATTTGTCTCTTGAGACAGCCAGGATGGTATACAAACTTTAATTATTTTAAATAAGCAGCCTAAGTACTGTCAGAACTAAAACTAGGGTTATCTGAAGTTACCTCCTTCCATACACTTAAAAGTTTTCTTAAAAGTGCCTATTTTGCTATGCAACTTTTATAGCCCATATAGCCAGAGTCTATACAGTTGATAGGATCTGAACTAGAATAAAGCTTCCTTACATTTCTCTGTATAGGTAGCAGCAGCAGTATAGTGAGACTTTCACTCAAACATAGCTTCATTCCAATACGGTACACGTGTTTGGCTGGAATAATATGATAGTTTCTGTCATTCTTTTATGAAAGCTATCCAAAGGACTTACCCCAAAATCAGTCTCTGAATTGGGAAGTCTTGGAATGAAATTTGGATGGATGAAAGTCAAGAGAGTTGATTTTGATGTGATTTGGATTTTAACACTTAAACTTCATTTGCAGGATGACTAAAATGTAGCAATACATGACGACTCCAAGAGATATAGTAACAACATGTAAGTGGATACACGTGATTAGTATGTAGAAAATAGTGCATTAATATGGAAGTTGGAATAGAAAACATAATCTCATGATAGAATAATAGAATAGAATAATAATCTCATGAAAATTGAAAGCTAACAGAGGCTGTTTAATGCAGGAATAATATCCAGGATCAACTTATATTTAATGTGCCATTTTCAATGAAATAAACTTTTGTTGAATTATTTGAGGAGCATTACATGGCTTTACATGTATGGTCCACTTTTTGATATGTATGTTCTCAGCTCTTCCCATGTATTAATGAGGCACAAAATTCTTCAATGCAAGAATATTTTTTCAGTTTCTTTTAAGCGATGGAATACCAAAGGACTCTTTTTCCATTAAAATAAGGTATACAGAATGAAAAAAAAAAAGAAAAGAAATAAAACTTTGAAATATTCATTTTTCTAAAGTATTTATTATGGAGAAGCAACTTGGGGTTTATGATTTCTTTCTTAAGACAGAATTGCCTGGTAGAGAATGCAGAATGTGAGAAGAAAATGATCCTAAAGGAGGGCAGCAGTTGGGTAAGAGAGGCATATTTTTAAAAAAGAAAATCTTTACAGTCTTTTGTGTAGTTTGGTCCTTTTTAATTTTATTTTTTATGGGCTAAGAAGGAATCAAGAATATGCTGTTTATATCTGAATAAAAGATAGACTTCCTGCTGTGCAGAACAAATGAATTTAATATCCCATATTTCATGAATATATCGGTGAGGGTCTGGATTAAGCAACACAAAAACAGGAAAGCAAGTTATTCTCTGCAATGCAAAATTGT